ATAGTCAAATCTGGAAGCCCTAAACTCATTTTTTAGATCCTTTTCTTTTTAGCCTCATCTGTGGAGAAGTGAGCCCCTGACCTGAACTGTAGCTTCTGCCCTGTGAATGGATGTCACAAGTGCCCCATGTCACCATGAATGGCTTTGCGCTTCTGTAACTATGTTTAGTTAGAGCAGAAACCATACACTAAACTTCAGATGCCAGAATGAGGTACTGCTCTGCTGGGCATCATCAGTACCCATTCCAGAAATGGGTCCTGAGTGGGGGTGCAGAAGATGCTTGACTGAGAGAAAGGAGCCCTGAAAAGCATTAGAACCCAGAGGTGAAGGAAGTGATATTAAAGAGAGACAAGAGACGGAAGCAGGCAAGCATCCGTGGGTCTGTGCATGCTATAGGCAGCTACAGGTAACTCAGTTGCTTCGGAGGGAGCAGTCTGAGGACATTCTCCTGGGAAACAACCTGCTCAGCCCATTCTAGTCTCTGCGACAATGCACAGTGCCCACAGGACCAGCCTTGGTCCCTGTTGCAAACAGCTGAGCAGAAGACTGCCCTGGGGCTGGGGTTCAGATTGCTCAACCTCCAAGCCTGCCTGGGTTTCAGATGAGTGGCAGACATTGTTTACATGATTTACATGTAAAAGAGATCCCAGGATCTCCTCTGATTGCAAGGAATTCCCAGTCTTCAAAGCAAGCTCAGAGTATGAGATGTGGAGAGAGTAATGGAATTACCAGCCGCCCCACCAACGCCAGATCTGAGAGCAACCAAGGAGCTAAAAACAAAACAAAACAAAGGTCTGGCTCCATGGGTCATCCAGGAACGTGTGAGGGACTGGGGTTCATGCTGGGGCAGACAAATGCGGAGGGCTTAGACTGTGGAAAGATGTGCAGACTTTTATCCACTGAGACATAAGGTGGGGGTTATCCTCCTTACCCAAACAACCACTGCATCAGCAGCCAGAATCTAGACTCTCCATCCCTTCCTGGGAGGAAAGGGACATTGAGATCAAAGGACTCTGTGACTTGTCTACTTCTGGGATACCTAGGATGCTCTTAAGAGTTTCGGAAATGTTCCAGAAAGAAAAGAGATGACACCTGTGTGGAACCAGTTCACTGGTTCTCAGCTCTGGCTGCCTGTTAGAACCTCTCAGGGAGCCCAGACCTCAGCCAGAGCAATTCAACAGGATCACTGGGGTGGGACCATGCCTTAGTGCCCTGGAGACAGAGACTTTGATCTACATGGTTCCCAACCTTTCCCACCTAACAACGTGTTTGAAATTAGCGATCTGGGCACAGATCCATCTCCAATTAGGGAGACGGTGGCTCAAGGCTTATTATTGTTATTTCTTATTAAGCTAGATAAGATATTCTACTACTGGGTCAGTAGGTCACAGGGAAACACAGAAGGCAATGACTCAGGAGTCAGGTATGAATAGAAACTTTGTAAAAATCAAGCTCTCAGGGTTTGGGGGCTCTGGGGCATTGAGCCCGGTTATCTCACTGGCTCTAAATGTGTTCCCCAGTCCCGCAGCATTAGTGTCCTGTGGAATCATCTTGGGAATGCTAATTCTCAGTCTGGCCCACAGTGACCGAGCTAGAATCTCTGAGGTGTGGCCCAGCAGCAGCCTGTTAGCCCAAGTTTGGGAACCACTGATCTGGCATAGGAAAGGCCAACTCTGCTGGACCTTGGCCTGCTCAGATGTCTTGCTTTTCTCCTGTACGGTAACCCTTAGTTAGCCTTACTTAGGAGAGCATCTTTGGAAACGTCAGCCTTAAAACATTCAATACAAAAGTGAATCGATAGTGTCAAAGAGACGACTCAACGGTTGAGAATACTTGTGTTTGCAGAGGACCTGGGTTCAGTCTCCAGCATCCGCGCCAGGCAGCTCACAACTTTCTGCAACTCCAGCTCCAGGAAATCTGATGCTACTCTGTGGGCACCCTGACCCACATACAGATATCCCCCCCACAAATACATATTAATTAAAAATAAAATAGATCTTAAAAGTGGATCAAAACACACAAATAATTGAAGACAGAGAAAAGTAACATTATTAAACTGTCCCACCATACAAGCTCACGGACTTTCACTTTCCTGAGCCCCATGGATTTGCTGAAGATGATGATGGGAAGGCAAATTCATGTAAACTTTTAGGGCTGTGACTTGGAAATGCCTATGACAGCCTCGGTATTCTTCACACAATTGCTCTGGTAGAGAGATGGACACTTAGCTAAAGGAACATTATATCCCAGTTTTATAATATATATCATAATTATATTAATATATTAATATAAACAATATAATATAATCATCTGGGAATAAGTATTCCCAAAGGAAAAATACAGTGAAAGATGGAACAGCCTTCTTTAAGGTAATTGCAGGCCAGGTCCCTTAATGGGATGGAGAGTGCACTCCTTTAATATGGTGAGGGGACTTGAAACAGGGTTATTAAATGGGGGAACAGCACAAAGTCACAGAAATGGACACTGAACAGTTCTCACAAGCCTTAAGGTCTTTTTCTAAGGCTAAACATTCTGAATTCCTTCAACCATTTGTCCTTGAAAAATTATCAAAGTCCCTAAAGTCTGAGCTGCCCATACGTACAAGAAGTCTTGGGGACATTCTACAAAGTGTGCAAGGGATACATTACTGTCACGTGCATCACACAGTTCTGCTTTGGCGTCAGCATGCTGGAAGCATGGGTCTAGCTTTTTGTGTTGATAGGGTCACCGTGGAGTTGGTGGACCATGATGCCAAGCTAACGGAAGTTTGTTAAGTGGAAAGGGAGGGAAGGCATTGCAAGTAGAGAAACAGGACTATGGGGAGGTGCAGAGGCAGCAAAGGTCTGGGCATGTTCAGGACTCAGTGTCCCACATGCCTGTGTCTGGAGCTGGCCAGAGAATGGGGGCAAGTGGTAGATGGAATGGAAAGGGAGGCTTTCCTCAGTTAATCCAAGATGTTGGGTTTTCCCCCTACTTGTTGCAAGTCAGAAATCAAGAAGAGCACATCGAAAGCTTTGTTTTAGAAAGATCACCCTGGTGGCTGCTTCCTGGAAGCAGGGGACACCTGCATAATGAACTTTAAAATGCTGGGATCCTTTGGGTCACTGATTTCCTATCTAGATGATTCTCTTTTACCCTGACCTAGGGATTACCTGGCAGGATTCAAGGAACCCTGGACTATGAGGCTCCCCAGGGCTGGAAGAGGGTATGAGAGGGTCGTGGGAGGGGGAGCAGCCATGTTTGTCCTGTGGGGCTCCGTCAGCTTTGAGGCAATAGGCTCAAGTTTCCATAGCCTTTGCACGGGTGGGCTGGGCCTACATTTGTCTGTCTTTCGAAGTGTGTTGACTGGAGGAGAGCCAGGCAGAAGCCTGGAGGTGGGATGGGGATGGGGTGGGAGTGGGGGAGCTGCCAGGCTCAGAGTGTGGCTGAGACTGTAATTAGGTGACGTTTGTTTTTGTTTTGCTTTAGAGGAAAATTCAGAACCTGTGACTCTTGTTCACAGGCACATGGCTGGTCGGGGTGACTTTGAGTTGATGGAAAATGTGGTCAACCCCATAAGTCTTGTACAGTCATCACTGCAGGTCTGTAGTGAACGTCCGGAGGTAATGCAAAACAAAGCAGGGGAGGCAGCTGCCCAGGCCTACAGAGGCCCTTTCTGTCCTAGAACTCTCCCAGGCACACCTGGGAAGGAGGTGCTTAGCCTCTGGCACACCTGTGAGGGGGTTTCTTAGCATCTGGAACACTTGTGGGAGGTTTCTTAGCCTCAGGTACATCTGTGGGGGGTTTCTTAGCCTCAGACACTGTGAATACTTATGTTGAATAGGTTGAGGTGGGAAAGTTCCCTGGGGTCCTGCACAAAAAGAATCTGGTGAGCTGATCCATCACTAGCATCCATCATTCCCCACTTCTGGACTGTGGGAACACTGCAAAGAGCTGCCTCAATCTGCTCTGACTCCCTCACCATGCTGGGTTTTAATATCAAACTGTGAGTTAGAATACATCCTTTCTCTCCCAGGCTGCTATTCATTTATTTATTTCAATGTGTGGGTGTTCTGCCTGCATGTATGTATGTGTACCACATGTATGCCTGCTGCCCACCGAGGCTGGAAGAAGGCATCAGTGTTACAGGTGCTGTGAGCAGCCATGAAGGTTCCCTTCGAGAGCCAGGGCTGTAACTGCTGAACCATCTCTCCAGCCTCAACACTAAGTTGCTTTTCTAGAGATTTTATCACAGCGACAGGAAAAGCAACTAAGACAAGGTATTCCCATGACACAGTTACTTACTATGATCAAATTTACAAAGCTGAAACACAGAGGATGGCCTCAAGTTTTTCTAGCCAGGAAAGAAATGACTTCACGCTCAAGTCTGCTGGACTCTCCTAAATGAGAAACCTATATTTTGTGTTTTGGTAAATGGATCAGGTTCCTGAGGAAGATGCAGGTTGCTCTTCTGTGGATGAGAAACCTCCTTTCCTAAGAAGGGATGTTACTCACCTTCTCTTGTCCCCATTTACAAAGTGAAGACACTGGCTTCCTGGTTTCTAGGTGGCACCACCTGTGTAGCCCCCACAAAGCCAGTGTCAGGACCTGATAGATTCTGATCAAGCCCCCAAAAGAGCAGAAGCGCCCTTAGAGTCCTTGGCCAGTGCATGTGAGCGGATGGCTGGAGCTCTCTGCTGCCTTCATGCCTCTCTGTGTGCTGGCTCTGACTCTCTCCAGTGGTCTCTGTGGATGAGGACCAGAGACCTCCCTCTGGAGGCTGCCTGCAGCAGAGCCTAGCTGGACCTGCCACTCACGGCACTCTAGACTGAAAACCTCAAGTTCTAGGCAGCTAACACCAGTGAATTTCTGACAAGCTCCTTTTCAGAAAAGAAAATCAAAACACAAGGTCTGACGACAACCAGGATTTTAAGTTATATCTGATTTGTCACCACAGGAAATAATATCTGGAGTTATATATGAGTAGTTATTCAGGTACTACTAAAACTGGCGCATCCTACCGTGTCTCCCGGCTGTGGCCTCATCACAGACACTCGATCATATCCTTTCCTCAGCAGAACCCACAAGGCATCAAGTTTTCCCTGAAATAAAAGAAATGCAAGAAGATTACATATGAAACCAGTCTGGTGGACAGGCACTGTAGATCTAAAGAACTTTCCAGGTTTTTCCTATCATGTTAGAAGCACAGCTCCGGTGAATTGGTGAAGGTGGATTAGAGACTCTCCACTGTCTAATGCAAGGGGTACAGTCTAAGAGCAGAGAACAGGCCTCCATGTGAAGTGTGCTTCGTACAGGGGCGTTGCTATACTCCACTGCATGAGTGTGTGTGGTGTCCCAGAGGATAGTGATGGTAAGGGGGGGATGTCTGCAGCGCGCAGCCTCAATACAGATGCTTTATGGTGGCGCTGATCATGCCAGAGAACCCTGGGTTCTGAAGTCACTCTCTGGTGAGCCAAACATACACCTGAAAAACTAAGTTCTTGAACACTGGCCAACTGTCACCTAAGCTCTGGTGGGTTAAATGTGATCTTGCCAAGTGTTGAGTTTCTCATCTCCTATTACAAAGAACCTACAAAAGTCTTTGGAAATATTCTGAAATGGGTTTAGTGTCACTGGTGGACAGAGTGGGTTTTGTATTTGGCATAGTTTTCTGCATGAGGCAATGCTAAGTGTCAGCTAACTGTTTCCTTGAAGGTTCTTAGGGGACAAGCCCTTACAGCTCATGATATTAGGTGAATGCCTTCTCTTTATTTCTAGGGGGGGGGTCTTCATATTTGGCTTGTAAATCAGCCCACCCATATTGCCTTATTTGCTAGACACTCGACCCCTGGACAAATGAGAAGCAACGACTTGAGGTTTAAGGAAGAAAACTTGGCTATTGAAGAAAGGAACTAATTAGCTCAGCAGAAATGGAAAGCTGCGTGCACAGCAAACTGCTGCTTGCACGTGTGGTCCCAGGAGAGAGAGGCTCACGCTCCTTGGTGGAGCAGGTGACTACAGAAACCAAGCAGAGAACCCTCGCTGACCAGGGAAGCTGTAGCTGGGCTGTCTCCGCTCCAGCCTGCAGCACAGAGCCTTCTCAGCTCCCCAAAGCTTGCTCTTCTTAAAGTGAGGGGCTAACAATATCGTCTCCTCTATAAATTAAATTATCTTTTAAGTTATTTCAGAAAAAGTATTCACCACACACTATCTGTAATCGAAGTAAAGTCATTAAAATGACAAGTGGGGAAGGAGTACAAGGCTGGAAGGGCTTGAGGCACAGTGTCTTCAATACACGGGCATCCACAAGCACCTAGACGTCTTTGTGTTCTCCCGATGCCTCCTTTCCAAGCCGAAATTACATTCTTCTTCATCACACCCAGGCTGTGCTCTAGCCCCTGTCATTCCCTCAGAATGACTCTTACTTAAAGCCACATCTTGATGGCCAAACACGTCCATATTCTGGAGGCGCACTGGGCTCCTCCTTCAGGAGTCTTTCCATTGGCCTTGCCTCTGTTAGGGTTGGCCTGTCTCCTCCTCCCTTTCTGCTTCTTTGCTCCTCCCCCTCTGCCTGTGCTTGATTTGAGGGCGGAGCTCCACTGGCCCAATCTGTGTAGCACCTGGCCTGACTCTCCCATGTAGCCTCTGGCTTCATCTTGGGCCTCTCGAGGGCCAGATCCAGGCATGTTGTGACCTCTTTAGGTCCAGACCAGGGCACTGTGTAACCTTCCAGCTTTTCTGATGTTGATGTAACAGGAGCCAAGAGAAAGCACGGCAAATCAGTGAGCTCTCATTGAGGCACAAGTACTCTTCCTCACATTGTCTCAGCTCATGGAGGTGTAAGCTGCACACCAGAGGGTCACCCTCTCTCCACGCTGCTTCATGGCCAGCATCAGCCATGTTTGGGGAGTGGTCCCAGCTCACTTGACACTTCTTCCCATTCCACTATTTCCGAAGCCCTGGTATAACCAGGGCTCTTATCACCTGTCACTTAGTCCATGGAACATTCCCTGTGGGCAGATGTAAGATCCATCCCTATGTATGGATACATAATGGTTAATAAAATAAATCTCAGGCCGTCTTACCAGCAGTGTGTACTCAAGCAAACCCTCTAATCTCTTAGTGCCTGGTTTATGGTGTGTGTGTGTGTGTGTGTGTGTATGTCTGTGTGTGTGTTGGGATGTGTGTATGTGTATGTGGAAGGGCGGTGTTTGTGAGTGTGAGGGTGGTGTTTGTGAGTCTGTATGGTTATGTGTGTGTATGTGTATGTGTTGGGGGAATTCTACTTTTGAGGGTTGTTCTTAGAACCCAGCCTGACCCGTGTCAAGTGCTTCATCCAGGTGAGCTGCTGTCTTTCGCTTTTCTGGACAAAGCGAGACCATCTTACTCCATTTTCTCTTCAGCATTCTGAACTCTGACTGTCCCTCAGGTGAACCTGCAGCCCTCCATTTGTGGCACAAGAACTGTGGATAACTGCCTTAGTTGCCTTCTGAGCCTGCATCAGGTGGCTTCCAAGGCAGGAGTTGAAGGAAGCATTAGGGAAGAGAGTGGTTACAACTGGCTAAGGACAAAAGTTAGTTCTAGGGGCCAGCGAAATGACTTAGCTGGTATTGGGGCTTCCCATGCAAGCTGGTGACTTGAGTCGATCCTGAGAACCCACGTAAAGGTAGAGGGAGAGAACCGACCGACTCCACAGAGTTGTCCTGAACTCCACATGTAAGCTGGAACACATGCCCCTCCCTCATTGTGCTCCCCCCCACAATAATATATTTTAAAAATTAAGTGAAAAACAAAAAAAAAACAAAACCCTTTACAGTCAGCCAAGATCCTGACAAATGTTCTCGGAGCCCAGATTTTCTGAACACAGCAGAAACCTGTCAATTAAAGCTGTACTGTCTGCTTGTTCATGAAGATCCCTTCCCTAAGGCCTGGTGTGTGTGTGTGTGTGTGTGTGTGTGTGTGTGTGTGTGTGTGTGTGTAGAGGCACTGTCCCTGTCACATAGGGTGTCCATCAGGCACAGCCTGTATACAACATGTACTTTAGACTCTGGTCTTCCTTCATTCCCCAGGCAAAATGCCAGCTGCTTCTGTGAAGTTATGACGAAGATTCCACCACAAACCCCAGAGTCCCAGCCAGGGTGTGTTAGCTGGCGTTTAAAAATAGCTTCTTCCATATGAAGTTGACACAGCTTGACTATAAAATCGGAGATTTAACAGTGCCAGGCTCCCACACCATACCTCTCTCTGCTCAGGCCATAACTTAAATGCACGGAGAGAGAGGTGAAGGCCTATGTGGCTTTGCCTGTATAATGGTGAGACCCAGCGAACCTATGCAAAGCACCCTCCAGCACCGCTGAGTTTCTTCTCTAATTTTGAGGCTCTTTGGGGCAATCTATCTTAGCTTGTGGATTTAGCTCTGGGACGGAAACTTGAAGATAGCTCAATTTATAGCACTGTTCTGAACAGAAATCTGTATTTCTGTGCTTTGAAATACATAGTAGTTTAATCCAAAACCCTGTCGCTCCACAGTCTGCCATTTGCAGGGAGCAGCCTGTCTGTCTTTCAAGGCAGGTCCTGGCTTGGCCCTTTAGCTGCCATTTCTCTCACTCCCTGGCATGTGGAGAAGCTACTGGAAAAAGGGATGGGTACTTTCTCTGAAGTCTGCAGTCAGTCCTAGCTTTAATGCAGCTGGTGGCCATGTATTTGGGCATGACTTAACTTGTCTGCAATGACTAGTTCTGTTTAATGAGAAGCACGGGGTGCTGTAAATCGGGGAAGCAAAAACCAAGCAAAGGAAAACAAAGCTAAATACCAGGGGAAATTCCCCCATCATGAGCCTGGAGCGAGGATGGGGGGGATTGTGGCTGGTGTGGTCAGTGTCCTAATATAGCATGGGGTACGATGCAGGGACAAGAGGAGGAGCCCACTGTAACCCTTTCCCCTCAGCTCCTGCTGGGATGCTCATCAAGCAAACCCACCTGCTTCTCAGCTCTCTGGAAAGAAGGAAGATGGTGGCCACTTTTGCTGTTTACCATGAGTTCACCATGGTCCCAGGATTTGCTGAAAGTTTAGTGCTAGGTGCAGGGTTCTCCCTGTTCACAGTGGGAAGGGAAGGCAGATACAGCATGGACTGGCCATTTTCCAGAAGCCTCCTGTCCTCACCGACTGCATTTCTTTGCATACTGCCTCTGCACCGCTAGCTTCTCTTGGCTCATGGGGAACTAGGACATGAGACTGAGGTGAGGGTGAATGGGGCATTTGTCCCTTCTGTCCCCTTCGACTTCCCTGGCTCCCTGTGGTGATTGTATTCCTAACAGGGCAGCCTCACTGAGGGCCTCTGAGCCTAGCTCACCATTTGTTAGCCCTACCATCTGCAGTGTGCCTACTGTGTTAGTACAGAGTTGTGACAAACACCAAGAGAGGGTCCCGTGTGGGACTTAGGTTTACATATACCTTCTAGAAGGAGCCAAAGAGCAAAGAGCAAATACAACCAGTTAAGAATGTCAAAGCCACAGTCTCTGCTAGCTCATATGTGTGCCAGACACAACAGGGCTGATATCCGTGAACTCACAGGACTTGTGACAGCACACACAGGACCTGCACAAGTTCAAGGCAGATAACATCCCGTTGTAGAGAAGGGGAAGTGGGTACAAAGTCCTATCCCTAACCAAGGGGCTAACTGTAATTGATACATGCTGGAAGAGAGATAATCAGAAAATGTCTCCAATGGAGAATATCTCCAGTGGAGTCTCTGGGTCTATGAGTCACACTCCAAGGCAGGCCCAAGGCCCAGGAGTAGTTGGCCAGCACAAAACATGCCGCACGATTGTTGATGTGCTTTTTGTTTTGTTTTGTCAATTTTTTGTCTTATTGTCTGTTGTTATTGAGCGCGGGAGGGAGGGTGGGGGGGCGTGGGGGCGGTGGTGTGAGAGAGAGAGAGAGAGAGAGAGAGAGAGAGAGAGAGAGAGAGAGAGAATGAAATCGGGGAGAGGAAATAGAAAGAATTATGACCAAAATATATCTTATAACATTAACAAAAATAAAACAAGTGTCAGAGTCATCTTTTGCTTCTAGGCCATGAGGAAACAGGTGATGAGGTGGATGAAGGGTGCTGATATCTGTCCCTTACCACAGCTCCTTTTATTACTATTCTCTGGTGGCTACTGAGGGACCTCTGAGCCTCGCTCACTTTCTGTTAACCCTACCATTTGCAGTGTGCTTCCTGTGTTGGTGCAGAGCTATGACAAACACCAAGAGAGGGTGCCATGTGGGACTTAGTATTTTATGAGGTCCCTTTAATGCCCACAGGCATCTTAGCTAAAAAAAAAAAAAAAAGGTTCAGCATGAAGAGTGAGTTTTATACACATGAGGGCTGGACCGCTGGTGGGACACCAGTTCTTTCTCAGGAATTCCCAGGTCCTCTCTGCACTTCTGCATCACTTCATGAACCGTGTTATCAAATGGCCTCTTCCTGGACAGAGCTTGCCAATGTGTGGTCTAATGAGCTCGGAAGTGGTTTCTTGACCATGCCTCATGCGTCAGCTCTTCAGTGGGAGCTGGGGAGGTCCCTGCTCCGTGCCAGGCTCCATGCTGTTTAGTGGGACTTCAAAGGATCACTGGTGCCCACAAGGGGCAAAATCCAGTAAGAAAGCTCATAAAACTGAGAGAATCTTCTTAACTGAGACCCACCCATCTCCTACCTAGCAGTGGTCCTGTGTGAGTGCTGGCATTAGCTGTCCCACCAGGTGAGAGGACCCTGCAAGCTTGCTTATGACCTCAGCCAGAGTTGTGACCAAGTGAGGGACACCAGTCTCGGGGGCTTCCTCCATCAGTCCTGTGAGGCGACTCCAGGACATGGATTCCAACTCTCTCAACATCAATGCGCTGGGTGTAAAGTCTCACATCAGGGTCGATGTGAAATGTGACCTGGGCTTTCTTGCTGAGGTTCCTGACACATTCCAGCCAAGATCTTTGCTCATTTCAATAACCTAGGTGACCAGTTCCTTCCTCTGGGATCCAGCCTCATCTCTGGCAATGCTGTCTGTGACCTCCTGGGTGTCTTAAAACCCAGATGCTTGGCCCTACACTGGAGGTTCTGATACAGCCAATCTTGGATGGGACCTCTCAATGTATGTTTCTAACAAGTTCCTGGGTGAGGCTGATACTGCTGGTTTGGGGACCACACTGAGAAAAGATGTGGTCCTTTTCTCACTAAGGAGACTTGGGAACCAAGATCTTAGTATGATGGCACATGCCTGTAATTCTAGTACTGTGGGGGTCAAGGCAGAAAGATCATGAGTTCCAGGACACCCCATGTAACTTTGTGAGGCTCTTTCTCTAAGGGGAAGGGGCAGGGGGAGCACCAGCAGGCAGAAGTCCTTGGAAGTCCTTAGCAGAAGAGTACTAGACTGAAAGCTTAGGTGTGGAATCTTAAGGCATGGCAAGTGGAATAGGGTTTTGAGCTGACAGAGGAAATAGACACGACTCGAGGGCATCTTGGAGGTCTTCTGTGAGACTGAGCCTCTAAGCCTGGGATCTTCATTCTGACATTCTCTCCCTACCATTACCTGGCCTATATAGGGCTGAGAAGCCCACCATTCAGTATCTGTGCATGGCATAGGGGGGACTTGTCAGGACTCACAGAGTAGATGCAGATTCCAGGAAGGTGCTGGCAACATTTTTAGATTTCTAAATGTATTTGTCTATATCCTGATTCATCTAGCAAAATCTAGTCTGAAGCTACCAGTTAAGAAAGGAACAACATGCCCTTCCAACCTTGAAGATTTCAGAAACGAAAATTCAGCTACAACCAAGGATGCGGTGTTAGTCACAAAGTGGATTCCTGAAAACGGCAGGACAGGAAAATCCCCTGTCTTCTCATCTCTGAGGATCCTCTCGGCTCCTTCCTGTCTGCACATGTCTGCACGCTACTGCAGTTCCTCACTGGAGAAGAATGAGCAGCAGCAGCCTGTTCCCCCACCAGCTGTGCTTCGCCCACAGCCCAGAGTTCAATCCTTTGCCTCAGGGAAGCTTATTCTAAAAAAAGAATCTCACGGCTTTAAACACAGCAAACCCAAATGGAAACTGCACTCAAGTTCCCGTGAGCCTGAGCTCATTCAGCTGAGAAACAGCAGCTACCAATCTAGTTTAATGTACCTACACGTGCGTGCGTGCGTGCGTGCGTGCGTGCGTGCCTGTGTGGGCGTGTGGAGGCCAGGGGTTGACTGGGGTGTTGTCTTTAGTTGCTCTCTGCTTTATTTTTTGAGATGCAGACTCTCTTTGAACCCAGAGCACACCTGTTTGGCTAGACTCTGTCCAGTGAGCTCCGGTGAGCTCCGGTGAGCTCCAGGGATCTTTGTTTACGCAGCAATCACTTTATAGACTCAACTGTCTTCCCAGGCCTGGCATTTATTTTGATTTTTATAAGTGCTGTTCTAAAGCTAAGAAATATTCAGAGAAGGATAAAACTTGCTATGTAGCTAGTTCCTGGAAGAGGGGCAAGGCTGTAAGAATGTATGTGGACAGAAAAGGGAACTAATCAATTCTCACACTTTTACTAGCAGGTCCAGTCGGTACTTTTGGGTGCAAACCTCTGCAGGAGCTGGGATGGGTTCTGTCTAGAGTCTTCTGCAATGAGTTTCCAGGGTTCTGATGACTGTCATAGTGCAGGTGCATAGGGACACTACACAGAGGAGAGTGCTCACCCCTCAGATGAATTCAAAGCCATGTGCACCCATGATGACAAGAGACCCTTAGGAGCATCAATCACCTCTTGTGGCTTTAACTTCCCAAGAAGCCAGAGTAGATCAGGGCTTGGAGCTGAGGCGGGAGAAGAGAGATGATGGAGAAGAAAGAAGATTGGCTCACAGCTGGGAAGAGGAAGTGTAGGAAGGACTGGGTAGAGACACACCTTGATGGGTGAGTACCACTTCCGAGGGGAGGAAGGCCGGCGCGTGTTGTTGTTGAGGTTCCGGGGCTCTGGGAACTCATACTCTTGCTCTGGCATCTTGACTCTGGCATTCTTTGCTTTTTCTAACTTCGCCCCTTCTTCTGTGGAGCCCTTTTCTCCCCAGCGAACCTAATGTAAGTGAAATTCCGTAGAACAAAGTTACACGGTTTGCCCTTTGAGGACAGAGTCTGAGGGACACGACACTGGGTCCTCTGTACCTTCAGGACTGTGAGTCAGAGAAGTCGGGTGTGTGGCAAAAGGCAAAGAGGAGGGCAGAAGAGGTGATACAGGTGGGGAGCTATGGGTCAGGAGAACGAGAGGGAAAACTGGCAAGGTGGGGTACAGAAGTGGGGTTTCAGTCCAGTGAACAAAGAAACCCAGGAGTTTGGCATCTGACTGGTGATGGGTAAGATGCAGGCATGCAGTTAAACAGCTATACCCCTTCACCTCCCCATCTTTGTGTCTCATAAAACACATCTCCCCTAACCTCAAGCATGGACCACCAGCGTTTGCTCTGGGTTTCTATCACCAAGTAACTGGCATACAGAGTTGTATGATGGCGGACCTCTTACCTCCATTCTTTTAATGCCTCCAACGCCGCGTCCACCGTAGTAAGAGGCATCTACTGTGGGCCATTTCTTCTTCGGCAAACCATCATCGTCTTCTTCCTGTTGAGAGATTGTGACATTTGAAGACAAAGCCTCTGAAGTTGTGTGTGTCCATTCTGGTGAGGTGGACAGGAACACGCTGGTACAGTGAAATCACACAGTTTCAGACCTCATGGTTAAGTCCCCATGTTCACTTGACTTTGGAGCTCACACAGCCTCTCTGAGTATGTTGTCCTGATTCATGAAGTGGGTATTAGACAGTCTGTGGATAGCCCTGGGGAGCAGGCCCGACCCTGCACAGTAGGGATCTGTTTGAATGTGCCACTGAACTTCCGGCCGTAAGAGTGCAATCCCTAATGTAACCATGTTATGAGATGGCGCTTGACAAGAGGTGACTGGATCTGAGGGCCGTGTCCTCACAAAGTACATTACTAAAGACTGGCCTTGTCCTAAGTGAGCAGCGGTGGTGAAGCTGAGGCTTGGTTGCTTTCCTTTACTAAGCCTTCTTGTCCTTCTGCTTCTGCCCTGCACGATGCATGAGAAGGTCCCATTAGATGCAGACCCCTGGCCCTTGGGCTTCCCAGAATGACATCTCCAGAAGTGTAAGAAATTAGTTTTGTTTTTCTTTATAAATCTTCCAGCCTTGGATATTGTGTTATAGAAGCCAGCATTAGGAAGAGTTCACGAATGTCTTCATTTGGTAATTATATGAGTACAAGCATTGGACACCAACTACTCCAGGTGTTTTGTGGCTGTCAGATTCAGAGGAGCGGAGGTGACTTTCTGATTTGATGTCTTGATGCCCCATCTGGTGGATGACCCACCCCATAGCATAAGAGCCCAATTCACATCTCTCCCCTCCTCCCTTTCCCAAATTTGGAAAGACTCCAAATGCTTATGTATGTAACACACAAAACTCTAATCTCTATACTTTCCTTGGCTTCTTGGCACACTCCAGGAACCCCTCTCTACTTCTCCACTCTCATGTGTATGGGGCGCTGGGAAAGGAAGGCAGGCCATCCAGAGACAGGTACTGCCCTTGCCTCTCAGTGTAGATTCACAACAGGAAATGCTTAGACACATCCTCAGCTCCACCGAGCCTCGTTAGACCCTGACCTGAGCTTCCCCTCCAAACTCAAACACCAGCCACAAAAGTCAACACTAAGCCCAAGGTCTGAGCAAAGGGAGAGTCAGCGTTTCCTTGCAGTAAGCAGGACTCTGTTTATGCACCAGAGCCTGTAGAATTGCACAATCCCAGGGAGAGCCGAGAACCTTTGATGTGTTTTTTCACTTGGCTGAAAGTTGGTGGAGTAAACTCACAGGGCTGAGCACATACTCTCCAACAGCCAACAGTCTCCGAGAGTGCAGTTCTACATCTAGTTAAAGAAAAGAAGCTTCTGGAAGGTATCTCCCTGCCCCGCACCCAGTCACCTTCAGAAATGTATCCAGGAGGGGGAATCTCTAGCACAGATTTTTTTCTTTTGTGGTAAAGAAACTTTGGTGACCTCTATAGTTCCTGGAGGTGAGAATTAGCTGAACTAAACTGTTTCACAGCATCAAGTAGCAGGAACCAGGGCCTTGTGGGAAATCAGCAGGGGACGGGCAAAAAAGAGTGGTCTGAGCCACCACAATCTGTGAGGGTACCCACAGGAGATGGCAGGGTGGGAGAACCAGCTATATCCACAGCCACACAGCTGCCCTCCAGTCTCTTACTTAGGTCAAACCCTCAAGAGGAAAGCCTTGTGTGTGGGGGAACGGAGGCACAGATGGCATCCAGCAATCCAGAGGATGAAATGGCACAGAAGCATCGAGACATGTCAGCAGTGTGAGAAGGTGTTCAGCTGGGGCTGGGTCTGATTTCCCACCAGGGGAAGTCGTGTTTAAATCTCAAAGGCTGTGGTGGCCCAGACGTCACTGGACTGATAGTTGGGCAACACCATAGCAGCACATCCGCCAGATGGCAGAGGCCCACTGTGACGTGTTTGTCTTCAGGAAGACCAAGCTGAGCTTTCCCAGTTAGCCTGAGACCCCATGCTGTCCTTACTCTCCCAGAGTTGCCAGCTGTGGTACTACAGTCCCATGTTGCAACAAGCAAGGGTCTGTGTGCCTAGAGAACCCCTACTCCCCGTGTCTCCTACCCTCTTTTCCAGACACTTTATAAGTTCCCTACTCTATGTGGAACCCCAGTTCCCCAGAGGTTTTAGCCTCTTTCTCAAAGCTTCTTATGTTCACCTCTATTGACTCAATAAATATTTAATTAGTTATTAAGCAAAACTGTGGGTAGACGGAATGAGGGTTCATATCCTGGGCCTCCCTAACTCCAGCACACACGCAGTGCACTGGGAGAATCCACTGGCTCAGGGTGAAGGATGGCCCTGGTCTGGATACCAACTGACCCTCAAAGCTTTGTGCTGTTCTTGCTTTTCTGATATCCGAACACTGGAAGAACCAGATGAACAGATTGGACGGAGGGGAACTTTGTCCCCTAGCTCACTGTGAAGACAGAGGGAGAATATGCTGGAAGCAGAGTCCAGCCCATGCTTTGCAACTAACTTTAAGTATTATAGAACCCCAAACATCTTGAACCCAGATGATAAACCCTGTGTGACCCCAAACAAGAGCCACTTGAGTATCCTTTCCTTCGTCCCCTCCAGCCACTGTGGTGGAGCCTCCATGCCCACAGTGTTAGAGGCACACGGAGGGAAGGCAGCTGTTCATATTTACAGAGGAGTAAGCTTTGTGGGTCTGATGACATGAAGGAAGATGAACACAGCACAAGTGTCCAGGCTGGAGGGCTGCGTGTGTGAACCCACTGCAATGTCTCTTCTGGCCTTGGGGATAAGCTACAGGGTCTCTCTCATCTGTTTTGTAGTCAATTCACAGGTAGGCCTGAACAGTTGGGCAAGACTTCTGTTTCTAAATACAACCACTAAAGGTTTAAATTTTCCACTTTTCTGAGTTGCATTTAGCATGCCATAGCGTGGCCTCCTCTGTCTCAACACATAACTCTCCCGAGTTCTTCAGTGATCAACAGTGCATTTATTTTCTCAGGAGTCTTTGTTCTGTTTTTTTTTTTTTTTTTTTTTTTTAAAATTTAAAAAAAAATAAAATAATAAATTCTATTCTGTGCTGGATCTTTTTTTTTGGGTGCGCATGTTTGAGAGAGCATGGTTTGTATGGTGCCACTATCGAGAAAGTTCCTAGTAAGCTATACCACTTTTCTAAGCTTGGTTTTCCTATCTAACGATCTCTTACATAGTAGTGAACCTGGAAACATGTTCACTCTCGACAGCCATGTGCCGTTCAGCGGAGTTTGAATGCCATTGATGCCTCTGGCAAGTATCCATCCCTCTGCCTTTGGATAAGAACCACCAGCCTACAGACAGCTCCATTCTCAGTCCTCCCTGCTTCTCGACTCCCCACACACATCCTAATGGGACAGTTGGTTCTACAGCTTCAGGGTGAGATGTGGTAAGGCCAGCAGATGTGGGGCTGGAGAAAGCAACGGAGAACACATGGGCAATGGAGCCTGGGACGGGGCAGAGCTAGGCGGCCACCTTCATGCCAGTGAGAGGCTGTCGTGGGCCTTGTTGAGGCCTGCTGGGTCTAGGTGGGGTGACCCCTCCATTTAGGAACAGGGTATCTCCCAAGGACTGGAGGATCCAGTGCTGACCAAGGGGTCACCGAACTCCTCAGGATCAGTCGAGAAAGGACTGCATTATGTTTCCCCCTCAGCTCCAAATCCTGATCCTATCACATAAAAACTGTAATCCTAGGTGAAATACTGCCCATAATTTGAATGTGGTAAGTGTCCCCCAAAGCCTATGTGTTAAATCTGTGGTTTCTAGCTCATGGTACAGCTGAATGGAGGTAAATCTTTAGGATGGGAGACCTACCGGGAGCAAGTTAGGTCATTTGGGGTGTGTCCATGGAGGAATATTGTGGTTCTGATCCCTCCCTGTCACTCTACTTCCTGACCATGACCTTTCCCAGTGTGATGTGATGTGCTGTTAGCACAGCGGCAGAGAGCCATGCAACTGCAGCCTGTAACTGACACTAAACAACCGTCTCTTCGTGTTTAGGTCTCCTGCCTCAGGTGTCTTGTCATCACAAGGATGGAGATTTGACTATCATACCTATTGTAGACCTGACTATACCTCTGTTTTTCTCTTATAAAATGGAGTTACAACAAACAACACGGCTTTATTCTCAGGCTGTTAGATGACTAAATGAAACAGTACAGAATGGTTAGTTTGTCATTTTCTGCTTACAGTTGTCTGGATGGCCCTAAATGCCTAGCAAATAGTCTCTCTAGCACACTCACTTATAAGTTTTAATGGGCTCAGATCAATATAGACTTGGAGCCTCTCCCTTTTTTTCTGGACTAGAGCCAGCCTCAGGCTGCCAGTCACAGCACACAACAGTGTGTATTCTGTAGTTGTTTAATGAGTAAAAAACAAAATTAAAAAATAATTATTATTGCCCTGTGTGTGTGAAGGGAGGGGACTGTCTTGCCACAGCTGATACATACAGGTTAGGGGATAATTTTATGGAGTCACTTCTCTCTTTCAAGCTTTAAAGGCTGTTACCTGCTCAGCCAGCTTGTGGCCACAGGTTTTTTTTTAGCATGTTTGTTTGCATACATGTGAACCATGTATGTGCCTAGTACCCACAGAGGCCAGAGAGGAGGGTGTTGGGTCCCCTGGAACTGCATTTACAGGTGGTTGTGTGTCACGACATGGGTGCTGGAATCAAACCTGGGTCCTCTGCAAGAGCAACCAGTGCTCCCAACCACCGAGCCACCTCTGCAGCCCCTAGGCCCAGAATTCTCAGTATCTAGAAAGCATGTCGACTATTCCCAGGCAGAAACCTCTATCCTATTTGACCTTCCCAGTGTCCTCAAACCAGAGCCTAATGTCGTCATTAGTTGCATGCTAAAAAGTGCAACATTAAATCTTTCATTAGTCAAAGCTCTAGTTTGGGTAGCTCCCTGGCTTATTTCTGATACAGCGTTTGCTCGTTGAATCGAGATGTTTCCAGTGGAACAGGCTGAAGAGCTCTAGACTCCAGGAGGGGTTGCCTGGTCTCTCATCCACAACTGAACAGACTGCTAACCCAGGGTCCAGTTAAGGCAGCACTGAGTAGGTGGGGAAACTTCATGTGCTCAGGTGAGGTGATGGGCCAAGAGATCTATAAATTAGGAGTCTCTGCCTTTATCCCTGCCTAGGACAGATCTCAGGGGAGGAACTCTCTCATTTCCAGTGAGTGTGTTTGCATGTTTGAAGATCTGCATGTATCTAAGATGCCAGCTAAGCCACACCCACCTTTCCTCTCAGTCACGGGCTTTCCTGCTATGGGTTGTCTTTCAAGTGTAGTGAGGTCTTTGAGAACCTGTATGAGAGGCAGGTGGGAAAGGAAGATAGCATGCGTTCCTGGCATTAGCTTATGTTTGTTTACTCAGTTAGACTGGAGTATAACTTATTTAAGCACACTGCTCCACAGATGTTCTGTGGTGATGCCATCAGACCCACTTCTTCAAGGGCAAGTATGGTCTCCACACTCAAAGATGCTGGTCTGTTAGACAGTGCTCACTGGGCTAGGAAGGGACCCCTGACTCAGGTTCATCCAGGCCATCGGCTGACTGTGACCTGTGATTTCTGATCTATGACCTGGAGTGAAAGGATGAGTTGGGCTAAGGACCTCCCCCTGCCGGGAACTGAGAGATGGGACCAGGGACTGAGGTTGTAGTTACTGAGGCAGAAGCTGAAATGAAGGCCCAGGACATGCCATCAGCTGGAGTCAGAGCAGAAAGGGGCTGTACAGACTATAGTTATGGGATCATGAGGGAAGCTGGTGAGGAGAGAGAAAAGGGGAGTAGAGTCCTGGAGAGAGAGGCTGGAATGGAGGCGCATGCCTGGGGCTGCTTGCCTTCTGGTGGTTTATCAACCACAACTCTGCCTGGGCCCACCCATCTCCATCTAAACACTCAATAGTGATAGGAAGTCAAACCCTCTCTCTGTTATATATATGATCAACCTAAACATACGTTACTGAGACCTTCATTGTTGAATAACAGTGCATCTTAAGGGAGGCATGGTGTCGTGAATAGAGAGCCTTGACTAACTCAAATGCAGTCACAGCATCCGTGAAGGTGATTATACTCAGAGGAGCCTCCAACGGAGGGCACTGCTAGCACACTCACCAGAAACTGTCTTTGGGACAAAGACAGTGAAGATTAAGCCTCACTCTGGTGGCAGTAGGCTAAGACTCACCCCAGGTGCCCCTCTTAGGTGTCACCCCAAGCTTCCCTCTGCTGAGATTTCCAGAGCCCAGGTGACTTTTCTTTGTACTCACTTAGCAATTTCACTTCCAGTGACAGAAGATTCCAGAGAGTCATACCTCATTGCACACTGCGTTCTGTATTTCCTACTAAAGAGGATTCTACATGAAGGAGAGGCGCTATGCGAGTCAGTAAGCTGCCTTCATTCTAACTTTAGCTATGCTCCTCTGAGCTGGCTACTTTTGTGTCAACTTGACACAAGAGAGGAGGGAGGCTCAATTGAGAAAAATGCCTTGATAAGATTGGGCTGTAGGCAAGCCCGTGGGGCATTTTCTTAACTAGAGATTAATGTGGGAGGGCCCAGTCCATTGTGGGTGGTGCCACCAGCAAGCAGGCTTCCTGAGGTAAGCAGTACTCTGCATCAGCTCCTGCCTGCAGCTTCCCGCCCTCACTGATTTTGATGATGAACTGTTATATGGAACTGTGAGGAAAATTTCCTCCACAAGCTGCTTTTGGTCAGAGTGTTTCATCACAGCAGTAGTGACCCTAACAGGGACAGCCTCTCTCAGGATGCGGTGGTTATAGATCTGATGAAGGTCAGTTAATATTTAGCTTGTCCATATACACAGCAGATGGAGGGGTTGCCCTCACAGGGTGCTCTTCTCTCCCCCCCCCCCACCATGTTGTCATAGTCTTTCTATGCAGCCCAGGCTGACTTCAAGCTTGAGCTTCTCCTGTTTCAGCCTCCCCAGTGCTGGGGTTACTAGCATGCACCATCACTTGCAGTGCGTGTTAAGATTAACTAGATAGTTCCTAACCTTTAAGCGTCCAGTGGTTTTAAGCTTTGATGCAGAGGGAGGATTTAATGCAATCCCCAGAGACCACCAAGAAGGAGAAAGGAGGCTTCCACTTGACAGGAGGCCTTTCAGGCCACTCTATGCAGACAGTGCACATGAGCTGTGTTCGAGGCCTCGGTGGGTCTGTACATGGGGCTGAATTGGAGAAGGCTGAACAGATCCCAGCTGTGATTTTCAAAGCATCGTATAAAATACTTAATATGTTCTAAGTTACGTTATTTCTTTCTGTGGGATTTCTCTCTTTCTTTTCTTCCTGCCAGAGCACATTAGGAGGGGACTAGGGCCCCAAGGAGCCCCAGAGCTAACACACACATGCTGAAGCAATCTCCGTGGCTGTAGGAAGTTGCCTTAAGCCTCCCACAAGCCTTCAGGTCCCAAGTGTCCACAGTCTTCATTCCATTTCAGGAACGAGATTTGCCGTTTTCAGTCAAAGTTCAGCCTCCATACAAATAATATTAAGTGAAGCTGAAAACCTCAATTTCTTCCTTTCCCTTGCTTTTTTCTGTTCTCTCTTGTTTGGGCTCTAGCCTTGCATCCAAGCCATATCTGTTGTACCTACGGTGTCTGTGGACCCTGTGCTAGATGCTACATCAGATCCCACAGTACCTCAGTACCCAAATCTCCAGAATATTACCTTCTAAAGGTTGATGTGGAACAAGCACCAGAAAGAGCCACTCTGAACAAGGCTGAGGGTGGCGGGCATTTTCACCCCAGAGTTGACAGAAGGGCTCTGTCATGGAGCTACTCTCTGTTTTAGGATTCTAAGAGACAGCTGCACACAACACAGGGGTACTCAGAGCCGAGGGACCAGCCTTGATTCCTGCTCTTGGAGGGTTAAGGACAGACTCGAATGGAGAGAGTTCTTTTTTCCCTCCTCTCTTCACAGCAATGTAATTCTCTCCTTTGATTTCTGGACAGAGAGTTAACATCCCTGAGAGGTGTGCTTTAATTGATTGCCGCTATTAAGTCTCTTGGGGCTCGAGTGGTGTTCAGCACAAGAGAAACGTATGGAATTTTAAACTTAATCATCTTTCTGCGTAGGGAGGCTGAGCTGGGACAGCGCTGAGCAATGGTGTCTGAGGAGCATACAAAGAGACTTTAGGGACCCACTTGAGAACTGGAAACCTCATCACATACCTGCTGGGCCCACTAAGTTTTCACACTGAGGCCATCTACACTGGCAGGTGTTACTTCTAAGGGTCCCAGCTGCCCCAAGTTATGAAAGCCATTTGCTGGGAGCTCCCACCCAGCAGTCAGCTGCTAACACCTCAGCTACTTTAGTAGAGCAGCCCTGCACCACCTCGGCTTCCTGGTCCATTTAGTGGAAGAGTCTGAGAGTTTGTCTATAGACAGTGAGGATTCAAGAATGAGGCCAGGATATTAGCATATCCCGCTCCACAGTGGATTCATGACCACCTGGTAGAGTTTACATAATACTGCTTTAAATGAAAGAAAAATGGAATGTTTGGCAGCAGTCTTAGAAGCAGTGACTGTCTGCAGAGAGTGACAAATTTGCCACAACTTATACATGTAAAGCACATCTGCAGCGAGACAAGAATCCTAAAAGATTTCAGAGGAAAAATTAGACCCTTACAACCACAAATTATTGCAGTGATAAAAACATTTATTCTGAGTGTGGCGAGACATGTTTGTGATTCAGGCATTGGGCAGGTTCAGGCAGGAGTGACATGTGTTAAAAGCCAACCTGTGCCTCACGAGACCCTGTCCCCAAAAAAGGGGGAATAGGGAGTTGGATGCAGCTCAGATGGAGAGCTGGCTAGCATGTGTGACATCCTGGGTGCCAGCACATCAAAAAGACAATAATCAAAACTCATCCCCTCAAAAGCTCCCAGAAAATCTTTCAAAACCCTTGAAAGGAAAACAAACAGAAACAAGCAGACAAATGTACACATTTTAAAATTGGTCTTTGTGGAAAGAAATCAGCTAGTTCTGGCTGCCAGAGCTGCTCGTTCTTGTTAGGAAAGGTTCAAAGGCTCCTCTTCTCATGCAGCAGAGACCCAGCCCTGCTCAACAAGGGGCTAACCAGCCAGCGCTGCCCACTCTGCCACCTTCCCACCATGCACCAGCTTTGGCCACTTACCTCACTCTCCTCAACAGGGGGTGGAGGGACCTCCTTGATGATCTGTAAATGAAAAGAACAGGTCAGTGGGAGTCGCCAGCCTCCTGCTTCTTAAGATGTCTGCCATGTCTGTGATCCCATAGGAGCAGCCCAGAGCATGGGGACTTAGTCTATGCCGTGACCTGGCTGAACAGTGTAGCTCAATGAAAGCAGGGTCTGGGTGTTACTCAGTATTGTAGTCTTGTGTAGAGAAACACGCTCCACAGCTGGTTTGTCTCACCAGGACAGCTATTTTCTACACATTAACAAAGAAAGGTTACACACACGCACGCACGCACGCATGCACGCACGCGTACACACACGTACACATGTGAGTTAAACGGTGCTGCAGATTCCAGCTAGGTACAGACCAGGCTTACATGGCTGGAGCTTTCTATCACTGACCTCACTGGGTCCATAGAGAGAGAGGACATGAGTTAGGCTGGGCAACCCTGAGAGAAGGCAGCAGAGGAGGGCTGCCCAGGGATCTCTTCTGGGTACAGACAATTCAGAGGCAAACGGATTTCAGTAACTATTTACAAGACTGTTCTTCAACTGTCCAGTCTGTCCAATGCGTGGAGAGAGACACACAGACAAGGTTCCAGTAAGTCACCGAGAGTCCCTTCCCTAATGTGATGATTGGCTCAGTAACTCTACTCATGAAAGGAAAGTCAGGCAGTTAGCTGGTCTTTCAGGTCCTTCCTAACGCACTTTGGCTATGAACTACTGTGATCCTGTACGTTCAGGAACTTGCTACTCTCACCCACACTTACTGTTAGAATTTTGGGACCCCCCCCCATATTTTCTTTAGGTGACATCTGGCGCTTACAAAGTTTGTCCTGTAACTTTTGCCATCTCAGCAGCAGGATTGCCCATTTTTGCAGGTGGGGGTTCAGGCATCTTTCAGCCTCTTGACTAGGGACTCCCTTAGGAGCTCCAAGGATCTCCTTACCTTCCTACTAAGTGCATTTCTCTCCCAACTTAGTAATAGGGAGTGCTCTGTAGGGCTCTGGTCCCCACCTCTGTCTCCATCCTGCAGAGTCTAGAACGTTATCTCCACTGACTAGACAGGCTACCCACAGCAGCCAGTGGACTGAGGAGCTCCAAGCATCCGAGGAGGACAGTATTCATTAACTGAAGAGGCAGAGATGAAGGCCTCCTGGGGTTTAGGACTACTGTTTCATCTGCTTCCACTTCCTGCCACCATGGGAAGCCATGACTTTGCTCACCCACTCAACTCCCTTCTGAGACTCCCTCAGGGGAACCTCTGGGGAAGACCGTTACTGCCTGATGCTGACATGCCATCATTCCAGAGACAGCAGATAATTTTAAAACAGGAAATGGCTGAAGCTGGGGGAAGGGATGAAGAGGTGGGGGAAGCGACTTGAATGGCAGGAGAAGGGGGCGTTGGCAGGATGTTTGCAAAAAGGCAGATGCTGTGGAGAAGACAATGTCCCCAGCTCTGAAGAGACTCAAGGCTGCTCCTTCACTTCATGGAAGCCCAGTAGAGTTGTCAAATGTAATCCCAGACCAGTCTTCTCACAATGGTGAGGATCTGAGAAGCCTCTGGGTCTCCTGCAGCCTCATCAGGGAAGCAGAACAAACCCATAAGCCTTGCAGGAGTTGAGTCACCCCGAGCAGTGGTGTGCAGTGACAGTGCTATGAGGACAGTGCACAGATGAAGGCACCCTCCTCTTGTCTGCTTCTCTCTTTATTGCATCTTTAAGAGCCCTCACATAAGCCAGGTGACTGTATGGCTGGCTCCATCACACGCCCGAGACAGGAGCCTGGTGTCTGTCTGGACAGTGGCCACGGGAGTCAGGATGTTAGCAGCCTCGTACAAGTGAGTATACGGCAAGGTCAGGAGAAGGCTCTGTTGGTAAGGTGCTTGCTATGCAAGCGTGAGAACTGAGGAATGAGTTCAGTCCTAGCCACCCATGTAAAAGCCCGAGGTGGAGTTTTGTGCCTGTAATCCAAGTACTAGGGAGGGAGAGAGGAGATCGTCCTGGGCTTGCTGGCTAGCCAACCTGGGCGGATCCATGATCCAGGGTTGTCTCAAAAATAAAGTGACAATCCATTGAGGAAGACATTTAACATCTAACTCTGGTTTCCATGTGTACACAGGCATACATGCACATGTACTCACATGCACACACGCATGCATGCACACGAGTGTGCACACACACATACACACACACAAACACATACACATCACTGGTGGACTGCCACTCAGACTAACTCTCATTTACTCTACTTCACACTTATTGAATATGAATTCCATATCCTAAATAGGCCAGATCTGAACAGAGCCCCGAAGACAGTGACATCGTACATGATGTACTAATGCTGGTTGCAAGGATTACAGTTTGTAATCCAGATTCCATAGGAATACACTGTAAACTGGGCACCTCAATTTCAGAATAAACAGACTACCATGGTCAGCTAAACAGAAACTGGGCTCTAACCTGGCCTTGCCTATTGAGTGGCTGGCAGAGTCAATGAAGAGGTCCTCCAGTTGCTTTGAACTGGTGAGCTCAGCCTGGCCTGGCACAGAATAGCCAGACGGAATCATTCCTATGTCAAGAGTGGCACAGGGACCACCCTGTATAAGGCTCTGAGAACAGGGAAACTCACATCCTCTTGTATTCCCCACAACCCTCATGAAAATGCAGCCTCTGCTACACAACGAAATTGTATTCCACTTTAGAAAAAAATGAAGTAATGAAATCTGGAGAATAGGTAGATTTTGACAGTATGTGGTCCAGACTCAGATAAGCAGCACTCTTTCTGTCTCACAGGTGCTTGTAGCTTGTCGTGTTTTTATGTATTAATATGTCAGTGAGGGTGAGTGTAGGTAAGAAGCAGTCTGTAAGAGAGTGCAGAGGGGTGGAAATTGGGGCAATAGGGTTCACGTGATGTAAAAGCAGAAAGGAGGTCACTGAGGGTGGAGGGCACAGGAGGATAGAAATGGGAGAGGAGCAGGAGGAGAATCAATGAAAACAATCTTGTAGTGCTGGGGATCAAACCCAGGGCACCAGCACGTGGAGCTTTACGCTGGCATAGACTCAGGCCAAGTTCAGGTTCTTGTGCACACCCATGGTGGTTGCTGGAGGTACAGTGGAGGCAGATCAGACATTCGGCCTGGCAAGCTTGGGATGCGCTGACAACCACAGTCTGGCCCTTGGGACTTACAGTCAAGTTCAACTGCTAGGCCTAGAAAGCCCTCTTCAGGACTGTAAAGTAAGCTGATGTACCTGTGGCTTTACTTTGTGTGCTGTCCTCTCTCCCTCGGGAATGTTTGTATGAAGTTTTATTCCTTGAAGTGCAGCTTGGTCTCGCTGACTCAGCAGCTCTGATCTGTGCTTTGGAACTGGTTGTGCTCTGGCCACGGGACCACGGGAGCTAGCTGATGTTCTGCTCACTAGTCAGTGCATTCAAGGTGGGAGTCAGGCCTCTGTGCACATGAAGGGCAGGAGGCCACAGCCTGGCTATCATCCACTGAGAGATTCTCCACTACAACTTCCTATACGTTTTTAAAGATTCGCTTTATTTTTATTTTTCATGTGTATGAATGTTTTGACTCCATTTATGTAAATGTATCATAGAAATGCCTGGTGTTCTTGGGGGCCAGACGAGGATGTCTGGCTCCTTGGAGCTGAGCTTACAGAAGGTTGTGAGCATTTATGTGGGTTGTGGGAACTGAACCCCGGTCCTCTGTAACCACTGAGCTACCTTCCCACACTCATGGCTTTATATCCGTCTCCCTGCCTGTCTCTTCTCTCCACGATAGGAGCTGGATGCGGCTAAACTGCACAAGCTCCCGGGAGGCAGATGCTTGTCTCATGGAACAAGGCATGGTACTGAACAGAAAGGGTTTCCTGGCCTCTTTCTCTATACTCTGTATTTATGTCTCAGCGTTGTTTGTGTATGAGCTGCACCCTTCACGCTCCCAAAGCCTCCTCTGTATCCTATACCTGGTCTCTCACTGCCAAGGGATGCTTTGCCAACACACGGGCCACTCTGTGGTCTACACAGGTCCAGGGCAACAGCTGAGACTAATGAATCTGTTAACAAAACCATGTACTAATTTTAATGAGCTCAGCAGTTGCCAAATTTTCCAATATTAGATTCATGTAGAGGGTTTCTTGCTATAGAGCTGTAGGTGTACTGTCTCCCCAGCAGACTGGGACCAGACATTTCTAGAAGGTTCCCAAATAATGCTGGCTTTGAGGATATGTGGACCACATTCTTAGAACCATGAATTAGCTTATTCCTAACCTGTCTGTCTGTATCAATCTGTTCTGGGCAGAGGTGTTTTGTGTTAGCTCAGACATTCTCACAGGGCTGTGCTGTGGAATTTTACAGCTGAACAAAACACCAGCCCTAAGTCCTGTGTGGCATAGGTTTGTAATTCCAGTGCTTGTGAGACAAGGGAAGAGGATCTCAGGTTCGAGGCCAGCATGTGTTACACATTGACGCCCAGTCTTAAAAATAGCTGCTATTGTTTCCTTTATGTTGCTATAATAAAACACTCTGACCAAAAGCACCATAGAGGAAAGGATTGATACTTTCAAGTCCCAGTCCACCACTGAGGGAAGTCAGGACAGGAACTCAAGCAGGAACTTGGAGCAGAAACCGTGAGGGAACTTTGCTTGCTGGCTGTGCTCTCGTGTTTAGTTAGCAATCTTACACAGCCCAGGATCACCTGTCTAGGGAATGGTGCCATCCACAGTGGGCTGGGCCCTTCCACAACAATTAACAATCAAGACCATCCCTCACAGTCAGGCCACTCTGATCTGGGAAATCCCTCAGTCCAGGCTTTCCTCTCAGATGAATATAGCTGTGTCAAGTTGACAATTAAAGCTAACAAAGCCAAGAACTAACCAATAAATAAACAGAAACCCAGCAGCCTTGGGATACTTGATGTCAATGGTGACAGTGTCCTTGCCCTGATATCTGGTCTCTCAAGTGCCTCTACTGTCATGGGGTGAGGACACCATACCCTTGGCTCTGTTTGAAGGCAT